TTTTTTTTTTTTTTTTTTTTTTTTTTTGCTGTTGTTGTTGCTCTATTACTGCTAATAATTGAAAGAAGAGTGAGAAAGAAAGAGAGGTACTAGAACATGGAAGACATTGAAGTGTAAACAAAATAGAAGCTTAGCTCATAGGTTAATTTGATTCAAATTTTTTGTTTTCTATTTTTTTTTCTTGCTTTTTTTTGTCTTTTATCTCTTGTTCAACTCTAATCCCTACAATTGTTACAGCAACAGAGAAAAAAATTTACAACAGCGGCAGTAACAGCAAAGACGGTGACGACAATCACTACAGCAGCCACGACAACCACAACAACAGCAACAGAAGCAGCAGTAGCAGCAGCAGTAATAAAACTACCACCAACAACAGTAACAACAGGTTGAACGGATAGGTAACACCAACAGTAAAACATTTTAGGGGAGTCTTTGGGAGGGAGGTACTGGGGAAGGTGGAAAATTGGGAAGGGAGAAGAAGGGAAAAGAAGAAGAAGACTTATGATTACGAAGTGAGTGAAAACAAAGTAGACGCAGACCAAAAGACCTGGCCCTAAGGGCGATTATATGGATCAGTGATCTATAGATCGGGAATTACAGAGGAGTATTGGAGATCAGCAAACTATGCTGCTTGTTGGCTGTATTTTTCTGTTAATTTTGTGGTCTAGCCTGTTTGAAACTAATACTGACTGACTGACTAACACCATCGGCAATAGCAGTAACAACAACAACAACAACAACAACAGCAACAACAACAACAACGACTAACTGACTAACTGACTAGCTAACTTACAAGATATTCGCCTTTAAACAGGATTCGTTTTTTCCTCCTTTCTGTGACGTAGGCAACAAATTTTGATGCATCAATTGGGGCCGATGGCGCGGCTTGCATTGCCTTTTCTTCTTGCACTATAATTTTCAACAAGTCATATAACAGTGATGCATCACAATTAAAATAAAAATGTTTAATTTGTTTTCCTAAAATTTGTCTTTTTGGAAAAAAATAAACAAAAGAAAATTTTATTTATTTTAATTTTTGACTTTTTTCTTTTTCTAATTGTTTTTTAGTCATGACCTTTCTTTTAGCGGTTTTTTGTTTTCAGCTAACATTAAAATTTTTTCTTGCTTTTTTAACCTTTTTTTTTTTCGTTAAATCAACTGTTTTCGTTACTATTGTTGTTACTTTTTTCTCCATTTACTGTTCTGACAAAAAAAAGAAAGGACGAAAAAAGAAAAGTGGAAACCTATTGAAAAAAATTATTTTTGACTGTTTATCCCAAAAACAATCAGTTTTTTTGACTATTTTTCTGGTATCTCAAAAAAAATTCTTCTTTCTTGTAAATGACCCCTTAAAAAATTGCACTGAAAAAAGTTTGTCTATATTAATTTAAGTGAAACAAAAAAATTTATATATTCAATATTCTTTTCTTTTTTTTTTGTTAGTCAACAAATTTTTGTTTACTAAACGTTACTAATATCTAACGTCAAAGTTTAACAATTTGAAGCTGTTATTTTTTGTTTCCTTGTTTTTTTTTTTTCTTTGGTTTATATTGTTTGTTCATGCGTTAGAAACAGATGATCAGATAGTAATAACAGTGATACTGATGACAGTGATGATGACGATGATGATGATTAATTAGAAACAAAAAGAAATGAAAAATACTGGAAGAAAACAGAAGTAGAAAACAGCCAAAAAAAACTGTTACAGCTGTTAAGAAGTAAAAAAAATTACAATTCTTTATCTTTAGATGTTACACTTTTTGCTTCTGTAACGTTTGTTAAATGAGATGCTCATGCAAAAAAATAAATACATAAAAATACACATTTAAAAAATTAATATTTGCATATTTTTTTCATGTCATCCATTTTTTTCTTAACTTTGTCAGTTTCATCAGCTACTTAATCAATTTGTTTGCCTGTATTTTGACAAGTCAAGTTTTGAGGTTTACTTTAGATGGTTAATCAAAACTAAACTGAAGAAAAAAATAATCTGCAGTTGATGTCTGGCAGAAAATCTGGTGAACTCTGTAACTGTAATGCTGAAATTGCTAAATTTCACACTGTTATCCCAGCCGCCATAATGTTATCCCGCCTGTTTCTTATTACGTGCGGTTTCCGCAGTTTAATCCCCGCGATAACAGTTACCACCAATATATATTAGTGCATTAGTTGTTTGATTAAATCAGTGTTATTAAAGGTCATCAAAATAGCAACAACAACAAGCAACAAAAACAAAAAGAAGAAAAACTGAAGGAAACTGAAAAAAAATGGATTACTTTGAAAGTAATATTTATAGACGTTGAAAAACATTGCTGAGGTAGAGCATTGACAGAAGCAAAACGGTTCATGCATACGAAAAATGATGTTTGTCAGCAGCCTATTCTGTGCCGAGCATCTGTTCATCTTTATTGCTCATTATTTCACACCTGAACTGCTGCTTGATTTTTCATGCTTCCATTTCGTTTGTTGCCAATGCTAAAACAGGAGATTAGCGGTATATAAACTGGGTTTTAATTTCAGTTGATTTGATTGTTTTGTTTGTTTGGTTAGTTGTTTGGTTGATCGCTTTATCTGTTTATCTCTTTGTTTGTTTGTCGGTTTGTTGGTTTTTTGATTTCTTTGATGGGTTCTGTGTTTGTTGCTCTTTTATTGTTGTCACATTTAGAAAAAAAAAATTTTTTTCTGTCTTACTTTCTTTTATTTTTTTGTCAAGTTGAGCCTTTGCTTTTTCTCGGCATGAAAGTAAAAAATAATAACGAGTTTTATACTTCAATTATCAGCTTTGATTTTTGCCTCTTTTCTTTTTCTTTGCTGGTTTTTAAAGATTTCTGTTTGTAAAAGAATTAAACTTACAACCTTTTACTTTATTCTTCTTTTAGTTTTTTTTTGCTAAATTATAGGCGGTTCTTTAAATTCAAAAAAGAAAACTATCTTTTTTTCCGTTATCCCAAAACCACAAATCACCAGCAACATCTATTTGTTACCGTCAATCAGTAAGGAGTATGAAAATAAATAAACGAATGAATGAATGAATGAATGAATGAGTGTATCAGTGAATGGGTTAGTGAGTGAATTAAGCGAGTGAATGGATGTGTTACGTAGACAACGGAATTACACTGACAGCTTCAACACAGTCAAATTTGTTGGGCCATTTTTATTCTTCTTTTTTTATTTTTTGGAAATTAGTTTTCATTAAATTCTAATGCAAAGGAAATGAGACCTAAGTATTGCTATACTTCATGTAATGGCCAATGTTATTTTTTTACACATATTTATTACTAAGTTACTGATGAATAAGTAAAGGAAACCAAGAGAAAAGGAAAAGGGAAAAAAGTTAATGAAGTAATTTTTTGATATTGAACGAGCAAGAATATAAAAAAATTGTTAAGGTTTAATAATACAGGGGAAGAAATATTTAAAAGGAAAAAACAGTTAATACAGTCTGTAAAAGGAGGGAGAAGAAAAATTAAGGGGTAAGAAAAAAAAGAAAAGAAAAGAAGCAAAATAAAATAAAGGGGAATAGAAAGAAAAAATTGTTGCTCCTTTTTTGTAGTTCCTTTTTTTTTTGATGAACTGAATTACTAAAAAAAGTTTTTTTGACAATATCCACCAAAAACGGAACAGCAATTTTTTTTCTGGTTGACAAATGATGACAAAAATTATTCACACGAACACACTCAAACACACCAAGACACCGGCCCATCGATACTCACATCGACCCATACCGGCAAGCGTAAGAAAAGGAAATAAAAATGACGACATACAAAGCTTTTAGATTTTAGCCGCTGATTGTGGAAACACTAACAGATTAAACAAAATATGCAACAACAAAACTACTGCTAAAGAATCTAAACATCTCCCAATGTTTTCCACTTGATTGGTTATTGCTTGGTTAGATTACTTGTTTGACTGGCATTGTTCTTTATGCTGCCTATTGTTAAAAAACTGCGATTCCCTAAGATGAAATAAGAGGAAAAAACAGAACGGAGTTGAGGGGAAAAATGAAAATGTCGAAAGATTGATGCTTGTTTTGAAAGGAAACCTTTCAAATTGTTCACGTTGTTTGTTCGGAAACACAC